TTTAACTCAGTTTCACTCCTTTTACTTTCATTTACTCTGATTTATTGACTCACAGAACCGTCGAGCTGAGTTTGTGCAGATTTTAGAGACATGAAGAGTTTGAAGACTCTCCAGGAAATAACAGGAAGTGAAAATAGAAGAGGAGAGAACAGAGGAGCGTCTCCGCTGCAGAGGTCGGAGGGTTGAGACGTCAGACTGATTCCCTCAGATCTCTGCTCTAACTTGTTTCTATGAAGAATCCTCCTGAGGACTCGGATGTTTTCAAACCTCAGATTGTGGTGAGGTCGACTCCTCATCTCTCTTTACATCCTCCTCCTCCTCCTCCTCCTCCTCCTCCTCCTCCTCCTCATAACAACCTCACTTCCTTATATTGGCAGCATTTCCTCCACATCTATAAACACCAGTGTGGCCCCTCAGGGCCCCAGCGGACTCCTGCCTTATCTCCCCCCATGACGGCCATCGCCATGGAGCCAGACGAGCTCTTTACGACGGAGGAACAATGTTTCTGTAGGCGGGCGGAGCAGAGGGCGGAGCAGAGGGCGGAGCAGCTTCTCCACTGACCACAGATTCCACTCGTGTCTTTTTTTAGGGTTAAACTCTCGAGTCCCTGAACGACGACGACGACGTCACAGAGTGAAGACAAAGTGTTTGAAGAACATGAAGCTGAATCCAAACATTCACATCAAACCACATCAGAACACACACACGCACACACACACACACACACACACACACACACACACTCTGACTCACACACGCACTGTAATTTACTCTGACTCACACACACACAAATTCTCACACACACACTGTAATTTACTCTGACTCACACACACACACACTCTCACACACACACTGTAATTTACTCTGACTCACACACACACACACTCTCACACACACACTGTAATTTACTCTGACTCACACACACACACACACACAGCGCCCCCTGCAGTCAGTATTATATATTAAAGTTTCTTTTCAGTCTATGAACTTGAAGCTGAACATTTAAAATTAAAGCTGCAACAAACCAAACTAATCCAGTTCAACGTCTTTGAACTGAAACTGAAACTTATTGTTGTTTTCATCAATCTGAAGCTTCCTGTTCTTTTTATTTTCTTTACCTGTCGTCTTCTCCCGGCTCGCTGACGGTGGAGCGACGGGAGTTGGAGGCCGGCGAGGAGGAGGAGTGGTTGGATGCATGTGAGGAAGAAGAGGCGGAGGAAGAGGACGAGGTGAATGCTGAGTCCAGCGCCCGGGGCAACAGCAGCGAAGACGGCGTGCACAGCCATGTCTCCAGGTCGGAGAACTTAGAGTAACTCAGCATCTCCAGGACGCTGCAGGACAGAGAGGACAGGAATTGAAATTCCTTTTCACAGAGAGAAGAGATAAAGAATAAAAGAGACTCAGAAGAAGAGGATGAAGAGGACAAAGTGGACAAAGAGGACGAGGAGGACGAAGAAGATAAGGAAGAAGACGCAGAGGACGTAGAAGATAAAGAGGACGAGGAGGACGAAGAGGACAAAGAAGATAAGGAGGATGAAGAAGACGAAGAGGACAGAGAGTACGAGGAGGACGAAGAAGATAAGGAAGATGAAGAGGACAAAGAAGACGATGAGGTAGAGGAAGATGATGAAGAGGACGAAGAATATGAGAAAGACACAGAAGACAAGGAAGAAGACGAAGAGGACAAGTAGGACAAAGAAAACGAAGAAGATGAGGAGGACAAGGAAGACGAAGAGGACAAATAAGACAAAGAAGGCGAAGTCAATGAGCAGAACAGGCTCCTCCCAGAGGTCAAGGGTCATTAAACAGACGTCACATGTTTGATTCCTCATATTTAACATCTGTGGGGAAAGTGTATCGTCATGACGACCAGCTCTCTGTAGATTGACTGAGAAACAGGAAGTGAAGAAGAACAAAGATGTCCCCCCCTCACCTGTCATCAGCTGATTGGAAGACGCACGACGTCCTGAAGTCACGTGACGTCAACAAAAGACAAGAGTTCTCAGACATCTTCAGCCATATCTGAGGGGGAGGAGCCTGAGTGAGTCAGTGAGTCAGTGAGAGAGTGACAGAGTGACAGAGTGAGTGAGAGAGAGAGAGAGAGAGAGTTAACGGGTATCTCAATGATGTTTTTCTCTCGTTGATCAGATCAGAACATGTAAACTCACGTGTTTGATGACATCACCGGAGCAGAATGGAGCCATGTTAGATTTGTATTTGTTGTTTTTAACAAGAATCAGTTTCTAGTAACTTTAGATTTAAATGAATTAAACAAAATGAATTATTAATGAGTTTCACACTGAAAGTCCAGAAGTGTTCGTTCACTGTGAACTTAACTTTAATGTTAGCGATGATGGTAACGTTAACGTGTTAACGTGTTAACGTGCACGATGATGGTAAAGTTAACGTGTTAACGTGCACGATGATGGTAAAGTTAACGTGTTAACGTGTTAACATGCGTGATGATGGTAAAGTTAACGTGTTAACGTGTTAACGTGCACGTGCGTGATGATGGTAACGTTAACGTGTTAACATGCGTGATGATGTTAAAGTTAACGTGTTAACGTGCACGTGCTCACTGTTTGGACTCGTCAGGGAGTTAAAGAGAAAACACCTGGTGAGTTAAACTTCAGTCAAACTGACCTGAAGCGTTTAACCAACACTAACTAACTGTTAACTAGAACCAGAGTCACCTGACCTCCACTCACACAACTAACTAGTTACACTTACTTATCACAGTTTTAAACAGCTCAGCACATTTAAACCAGAGACACTGACCGTCAGAGAGGAAGCTTCTTCTTCTGCAGCACAAACACCCACTCGTCTTCTTCTCCTCCTCTTTCTTCTCCTCCTCTTTCTTCTCCTCCTCCCAGAGCAGAAACATCTGCTCGGTCACACTGTTCCTGGAAACGTGTCTTTGTCCTGCCTCGAGTCAAACATCCCAAAATACACAGATCAGAGCAGCGAGGACTCAGGTTTCACTGCACATCTGGAGCCAGGGCCCCGTCTCAATACTGTTCTCCCTGAGCAGCACAGGGCCCCGTCTCAATACTGTTCTCACT